TCTCTCTCTCTCTCTCTACACCGCACCAGCCACTCCGTTTTCTCGCTCGATGGCAAGCTTCTACCCTCCTCTCTTTCTCCTCTCTTCCTCTCCTTATACTACACGCCGCGTTTCCTTTTCCTCCTGGTCGGTGCGCGTTTTACGTTTTTCCAACGTTATCGACGTTCTTCCTCGGCTCTTCTCGGACTTTTTCCTTTCGTCGTCGTGGTACCATCGTACCCGTCGTACCGTCATCCTCGAGACGACCAACCAGCTTTTTCTCCGGGAAAACGTAAGCGGAAACGGCTTCTCCCCTCCTGCCTTCGGTTCTTCCACCCAGAACCGCGCGTTTCTAGAGGGAACGTTCTGAAATCTTCCAGAACAGTTTCCTTCGCCTCGTTTCGCTCCCATATTCTCGTTCCTCTTCCATCATGGAAAAGGCGCGGCTGATAAAGCGGCGAAACTAGTCAAATATTATATATATATATCGATTAAATTCCGCCATCTTTCCTTTCTTCTCGTCCTTTTATTTATTTCCTTTTCATTAGAAAATTCGTATCGCAAATTTTCAATAATTATTCGAACGGATTTCGAATTCTCTTTCGCGACATATTGTCACCGTGAAATAATATAAACTTTAACCAGTAGAATTATCCTTGTTCGATGATCGATTCCAATCGTTAATCAACATTTCGATATACATAAAAATTGTTTTTTGCAATATCATCGAGGTTACACGAGCATTTATTTTTATCAAGCAATCGTATTTAATATTTCGATGAATATAACAATATAATAGTATATAAGGAGAATATAACGCGAAGCCAGACTTCGTTGATTCTTGAAGGATCGATTTTCCAAAAATGCCTATTTTTCTAGGACATCGATATCGTAGCAATTCAGTCACCGGTATAAGAAACGATTTCTATCGATTCTTTGGAATATCGAACGCGAGGTGGTGAAAGGTAGTCGATCGTTTCGTTAATATTTTCCGGTCACTTCACTTTCGCGAACTTTTCATTCGTATGCCTGTAGAACTGAAACGGGAAAGGCGTAGTAGGATTAAAAAAAGACAGAGACAGAGAGAGAGAAGGATAAACAAACGAGGAGTACGAACGAGGAGAATAAGGAACAACAGTGGTCAACGAGTCGAAGCAGTCCTAATTTCCGTCCTGTCTGTACCGTAAGGCATAACAGTACCGCATTCCAAATGCCCTTCGTTTCTTCGTTTCTCTCCGTTCACCTTTCCGAGAGAGAACCAGGCTCTCTCGGCCTCTCACCTGTTCCTCTTCGCCCTACCACTTGAAACAGCACAGTCGTATATATATGTATACACTGTACAGTGGCTGCCTATGTTGTCTCCGTTCTTCCTACCACCTTTACATCCCCCTCCCATTACCCTCTGACGCCGTTTTCGAAGGAAAGGAAAGGAAAGGAAAGGAAAGGAAAGGAAAGGAAAGAAAAGGAAAGGAGAGGAGAGGAGAGGAGAGGGAGAAAGACAGAGAGAGAGAGAGGAGATGGAACGAGCCGCGAGATATGAGAGAGGGGGGGAGTAGAGAGAGACCCGGAAACGCCAATTTCACTGGAAGCAAACGAGAGCGGAGGAATCGACACGTGGAGATGTGCAAGAAAGGAGAAAAGAAAAATGCCCTCTGTTTCGGGATTGTTTTCGACGATCGTCCTTCGTCGTCCTCTAAGAAAGAATATCTATTTGACGGAATATCTCGTGTAAACTTGTTTACATTAACCCTCGACCGGTTGACCTTCGGTCATTGAAAAATAATTCATTATCTTCTCGCATTTATTTTCTTTCCTTTTTTTTTTTTTACAATATTCTATTTTATTATCGTAGTTCGTTGGCAATCGTTGGTCTCTGGTTGTGTAGCAATGTATTAATAGTAATTTTTATTTAATAGTAGAGAGATTATTTCTAAAATATTGCGGTCAAATGAATCGTGCATACCGATTTTTCCTTTAAACGTTTCTCTCTTGAAAAAAAAAAAAATACTTGGAAAGAAGTATTGCTTGCACGCAACCTGTTCTTCGTTCCACGCATCCTCCTCGTTCGTATATATGACGATATAGCGTACGTTTTCTCTCTCTTCTTTTTTTTTTTTTATTTCGCTCTTATGGAACAAGGATAAACGAGGGTTAGAAACCACCCCCGGGATCCACGTGATCAGGGTTGCGTCCCTTCGAAGGGTGCAACGTAAGAGGGTGACGTGGACTTGTCCAAGGTCGCACGTGGCTCGCCCAGAGGGATCTCTTCTCCCTAACTACGAGGGTGCACAATTTTTTTCCCGTTCATTCGATTCTACGGCTATCGAACAACCACCATTCGTGTCATGAATAAAAAAAGTTCCTCTCTCCTCTAACGTTTTCTTTACTATGCATTTAACTTTGATACTTTTTCGCTAAAATCCGAATACGGATTGTCGATTGTCTTAAATTTCCAATATTATCGAAATATTACTTTCCTCTTTCTCTTTATTTTTCTAAATAAAAAAAAAAAAAAAAATCCTCTTCGTACCACTTTCGATTACGATACATTTTAACGAAACTAAAATAGTTACAAAAAAGTCTCAATTTTGTTCTCTCTCTTCCCCTCCCCTTCCTTTCACTCCCTCTGTTTCTTTCTCCATCCGTCTGTCTCGTGACGATTATCAATAGCACTACTATTTAGCCGGTAAAGGTACCTGGTTAAGTTTTCGAGGAAAGAGAAAGGAGCAACGAGGATGCGCAGGAGTAGTCGGCTGAACGGAAGCAACGAAGAAGAAGGGAGTTGGGAGAAAGGGTGAAGAGAGGGTGGTGAACAGCGGATAAGAGAGTCTCTTTGTGTGTTCGTGTACAGCGGAGGGATGAAAGCGGAGGATGAAAAAGCCGGGGGGACAGATGGCCCTTTCAGACAATGAGAAACTCCGGAGATAAGGGGAACGCGAGCGAGAATCTAAGGGGGAGATAGAGAAAGAGGAAGAGAAGCGGTAGGGAAAAAAGGTTGGGGAGAGAAAGAAGGAGGGAAGAGAGGCAAAACTGCTTTTTTGAGACGGCAATGGAGAAGGGACGTAATGAACGGATGAGGCGGGAGAGTGCGAGAACGGGAGAGTGCGAGAGAAGGGAAGGAGGGAAGGAGGAGAGAAAGAGAAAGGGAAGGTTGAAAGAGTAGAATAACGCGAGTGAGTCAGATGCGGAATCGGCCTGTGTCGAACAACGATCTTTAAACGCGATTAATCGCCGAGCAATACGGTTTTCTTCTCGGGTGCATGTACATTTAAATTGTTTCCAAGTGGAACGGAAAGTTTATGACGTGATTCTGTATACGTAGTCAAGTGTTTAGATATGCGTAGAAATGATCGCGTGTAAACTGATGAGTCAAAATTTCTTTTCGAGACATTTTTTTATTTCGAATTTCGCTTAAAATTATATTTATTAACGATAAAAATAATAATGTGTTTCATTTCCAATTTTATTATTTATTATAATCGAATAATGATTACTTTCGAAAAAAAGGTAATTTGGTATTTTCGCGTAATTTTAGTCGATCCGTATAGGTGAAAGATTGTCTCGTAAATAAGTTGCAAACAAAAAGACGGAATAATCGATCAAGAAAGTTCCCTTCTCCCTCTCTTTCTCTTTCCTTCTCTTACATTTTTTGCCCTCTCTATTTGCGCGGTTTCAAAGAAATAGGATATATGTATGTATACATTGGAACGAGGAACGGAGAATACAGAGAGTGCGGAGAGAAAGGCAAGAGGGTTGCCAGCGGAAAAGATCGGTTCCGATGAGTAGGGTAAGAGGGGACGAAGGTGAAGGAGGAGACAGCGACGACGTCGACGATGG